ACAAAAAAAAAAAAAAAAAAAAAAAAAATGCAAGAAGAAATAATCTCACAAAATGTTACTACCATTGCTATAAGAACATTGCAATAGGCCCTATAATATGTTCCTTATTAAGGTCCAATATAAGAAATTTAATTGCTTATAAAAGCTTTACTTTCCCGTGAGGAAAAGGAATGTTTTTTCCTTATTATATGGAGAACCAGGTAGCTGATTATTTGGAACCCACCCACAGGGTATATGAATCACTATGTATGGCCTACAAGTCTACATTCAACTATTTTCCTTCCATCCTTACATTTAAAAAAAATTATTTTTCCTTGGTCCTGATTTTTTTTTTCCCTCCTGTGGTTTTTTTGTGACCAGTAAGGGGATCGGAACCCTTGGCTTGGTGTTGTACGCACTGAGCTCAGCCAGTGAGTGCACCGGCCATTCCTATATAGGATCCGAACCCGCGACGGGAGCGCTGCTGCGCTCCCAGCGCCACACTCTCCTGAGTGAGCCACGGGGTCGGCCCTTGGTCCTGATTTTTTTTTTTTTTTTTTAAAAAGATGACCGGTAAGGGGATCTTAACCCTTGACTTGGTGTTATCAGCACCGCACTCTCCCGAGTGAGCCACGGGGTCGGCCCTTGGTCCTGATTTTTTTTTTTTTTTTTTCAAATTTATACTTTGGTATTAAAGTGTTTCTGTGTTTCTTGTGTCAAATCATTTGTGGAATGAGTTTATATTAACAAATAACTGACAAAGAGTTGTATAACAACCTTCAAAAAAAGAATGATATGGAACCTGATTTAAATGTTTTGCTTTTCCAGAGACCATGGTTGCTGACAACAATGTCTTGAACATGGAATTTCAGGTGAATGATAATTGGGCACTGGAATGCACCATAAACAATGAACCTACTTGAGACCTTTTACTCAACAAATGCATTTACTGTAGGCTCTTCATCTTTAAATTTCATGGCTAGGGCTGGCCCATGGCTCATTTGGGAGAGTGTGGTGCTGGTAACACCAAGGCCACAGGTTCAGATCCCTACATAGGGATGGCTGGTTAGCTCACTTGGGAAAGCATGGTGCTGACAACACCAAGTCAAGGGTTAAGATCTCCTTATCAGTCATCTTCTTAAAAGATAATAATAATAAATTAATTAATTAATAAATTTCATGGCTGGCCAGTTAGCTCAGTTGTTTAGAGCACAGCCTTATAACCCCAAGGTCATGCGTTCAGATCCTTTTACTGGCCAGCCACCCTGCCCCCCCCCCCAAAAAATTCCATGAGGTTCAAACTGTCACATTCACCATTGTCATTCAGTATCTAGTACTGCCAAGTCCATTCTGAAAGAATACATTTAATTTACAACATAAGATTCTCTTATATTGTATCTTTGAAAGTTGGTGCCCTTAAAAAATCACTTCAATATACAATTTAGAAATGGCTTTCTTGTAAAAGGAGTATTTCACTTGAAAAAGAAAAACATAATTCTCTTTTTTGGTACATACGATTCTTGCTGCAGACATGTTGCATGGCCCAAACTGCCCATAGCTGGACTCCTGGTGTTGTGAAACAGCCAAGTAATGGGAAAAATGGATTAAAAGACCTAAAGGTTCAAAAGAAAAGAGTCAAAGTTACATCCTACACTCAGCATCATTTTCTAAAGCAATAATTCCTAAACTTTTCTGTCAAGCTAGGGCTGGGTCTGGAGCTCACAGACCCCTGAAGCCCATTGTCCAGACTGGGTCACAAACTCTTCACACACAGGTCTACAAGCTAGGTAACCAGCAAAATGGTCCTGGGAGCCGTAGGTTTGAGAGCATGGCCGAGTGGCTGATCACCAGGCAGTCAACACCACGCACTGCACATGCGCACTAACTCCACCCAACCCAAGGCGAGGGGGCCTGATTAAATTATTCTATTTTCCCTACAACCCACCCCTTCAGGGTCCCTCGCTGTACAATCTACGCGTTCATAATCTTCCGCAATGTTCCCTTAGCGAGGACAGAAGACCCTTACATTCACATATTACATATTCCATCCCAGTCCCAAAAGTCTTTAGCTTGTTGCAGCACCAACTCAAAAGTCCAAAGTCTCATCTGAGACTAAAGGCAAAACTCCTTTCAGCGTGAATCTGTAAAGAGTCAAAAACAAGTTTATCTAACTTCCAAGATACAGTGGGACAGACACTGGGTACACATTCCCGTTCCAGAAGGGAGGAACAGAAAGGAAAAACAGGCCCCAAACAAATAAACCCAAACAGGGCAAACATTAAGCACACTGGGGCACCTGGACCCCTAAAGCATTGGGCAACCTCTGTTGTGAGGCTGTCGCATGGAAAAGGAACCAGAACACCCAATTGAGAATTTAAAAAGGGGGTCTTTATTAGCTGGCCAGTGACTGTCTCTCCAGATATTCTGGTAAGAGAACAGCCTTGAGTTTAAGTTTAAGGGGTCTTTTAAAGGCACATAGTCACACAGGCAAGAAAATCATATAGTCACACAGTCAAAGTTATCATATAGTCACACACTTAAAGTTATCATATAGTCACACACGTTCCTGCCTAGTGTGAGGAGGGAGGGGGTTTTGCAAGGCCTAACACAAGCTGGTTACAGAAGCCGCCAAGATAAGCCAGTTAATCACTTAGGGACAGCAAAAATTTCCACAGGGCAGTTTCCTCCTTAGGTTGTCTAGATACATCCAGATACAGCTCTTGGTTTTATCAGTTAGGGACAGCATAGGCAGAAAACAACAACGGCAGGCAGAATTTAAAATTTTTCTAAGTACAGGACAATTTTTAACCTTCAATTTTCACCATAGGTGTTGGGGAGGGGGGGTTCAAACAAGAACACTTTCCAAACAGTAAAAATAGCATAAGCTAAATCAATCTACCTCATCACACTACAGCTCTGCCAAGTGCAGCCCATTGAGCTGCCCTGATGCCTGCAGCTTTCCCAGGCTGGCGCTGCACACTGCCAGCGGCCCCAGGGTTCTGGGATCCTGGTGGCAGTTCCACCATCCTGGCTCCACTAGACATTTCCTCAGTGGGGGTTCTCTGTGGGGGCTCCGACCCCACTTTTCTGCTCCACATTTCTCCGTAGATGACCTCTGCAGTGACTCCACCCCTGCAGCAGGTCTCCACCTGAATCCCCGGCTTTTTTCATACATCTTCTGAAATCTTGGTGGAAGCTGCCACGCCTCCACTGCTCTCATGTACTTCTGGCCTGCAAACTTAACACAACGTGAATGTCACCAAGGTTTATGGCTTTTGTTGTTCGGAGGTGCTGAGGCAGGACTGCTCCAGCCAGACTGGCTGGGGTGCCGGGAGCAGTTTGCTGAGGGCAGCAGGCGGGAGCACCGCCGCACTCCCAAGCGGCACACTGTAGCAGTGCGCCACCGGGCCGGCCCCCCCTACTTATCTTTCAAAACTCAGCTTACAATTCACTTCCTCTGTAAGCTTTTTACCATTTTCCAGTGTAGATTTAAAAAAATATGCTCTCATCTTTAATTTCATAACATTCTATGCACGTCTAGCATAATGGTGAATTATATCTGATTCACATTTTGTTTTTTATCTATGAATTTCAAGAGCATAAAACAAATTCCTGGCACTTGTCTTCAATAGATTTGGAAAGAAGGGAGGAATGATGAATGACAGGTGGCAGAAAAAAGGTAAAAATACTTTGCTTCTTTTAAAGCCAGTACTGGACTGACCAGTTAGCTCAGTTGGTTAGAATGTGGTGTTATAACACCAAGGTCAAGGGTTTGGATCCCTATACAAGCCAGATGCCAATAAATAAATAAATTAATTAAATAAAAGTAAAAATAAAATAATAAAGCCAGTACTAAGAAAGCTGCCTGTGGGAAAAATTATACATCTAGTAAGAATGATCTATAGGCAAGCAAAATGACTAGATTATGGCTTAATATTAATTATTGTGCTAATTACCTGTATGCTACCATCTCACACTCTGGAGTTGGCCATTTCAAAATAGCTGAATGCTGGAAGATACAAGACAAACAAGAAAGGATTACAATATTTATTTAGCTTGTATTAATACATTATAAGGCTTTGACAGTTTAGCCACTATGAATTTTGGTTGTTTATGTTTCCAGAAAATACCAAATAACCTACCAAATCATCCAAAAGAGAATTCCTCTGGCTACGGCTCAATGTCCAAGCTTGTTCACCTCTGGATATTAAATGGGCAATAATTCCAGCTGCAAAGTAACTGACTTCTACTTCAACACTGTGCAGGAGACTACTGATGTGGTCTATAAAATCCTTCCACATTAATTCAGAATGTAATTCTTGTACTTCAGCTATATTGTTCTGGAAAAAAAGAAGATATAAAAATTAAAGTAATATGTGTAGTGAATGGCTGAGAGAACTGTTTCAGACAGTGGACAACAGGTAATACAGGAAGGTGATCCCTGAGAGAAAGTATTCAAATGGGTCAGTTTCTAGATTGCAGTAAGGGGGACCTAAAGAGAACCTGGCAGTTTTGTTGAGCTGAGGATACAGAGATCTTAACAGTTCTGGGTTGGGCTGGCCTGTTAGCTCAGTTGGTTACAACATGGTGCTGATAATACAAGGGTCCAGGGTTCGATCCCTGTACCAGAAAGCTGCCCAAAAAAAGGAAAGAAAGAAAATACCAAAATAGTTCAGGTGGCCAAGCAGCCAAACTTTTCTGAATAAAGTACAGGAAAAGAAAAAGCTCCACAGGGAGAGAGGGAGAGAGCAAGAGAAACCAACTGACCTGTACAGGAGTCCCTCAAATCTTTGGCCAAGTAGTGATACAGAGTAAATCTGTAAGAGGCTAGGGAAAGAACCACCAGAAAGTGGTACACAAACAAATCCCAAAGTCACACAGGGTTAGGAATAGCTCACATCCCACCAGACAGAGTGAAGAAATCTCATAATAAACAAAGCATTTGATAACAGTGAGGCTAAATTATATATTAGTCCTAAGGTAAAGGGTGTTCTAAAGCCACTCTAACAAAGCTTCAAAAGGAGCAACTTGATGGCTGGCTGGTTGGCTCAGTTGGTTACAGTGTGGTGTTATAACACCAAGGTCAAAGATTTTGGATTTCTATACCAGCCAGCCACCAAAAAAAAAAGGAGCAACTTGGTCTACAAGTAACTGCATGCCAGAACAAAGTACAAGATTCTTTAGAGGAAAACAATAAAATCCAGCAAACAACAATGTAAATTTCACAATAACTAGTATCCAATCAAAAATTACCAGGCATACAAAGGAGTAGGAAAATGTGATCCATAACCTGGAAAAAATTAATCACTAGAAATGGACCCAGATGGGCCGGCCCATGGCTCACTCGGGAGAATGCGGTGCTGATAACACCAAGGCCCCGGGGTTCGGATCCCACATAGGGATGGCCGGTTCGCTCACTGGCTGAGCGTGGTGCTGACTACACCAAGTCAAGGGTTAAGATCCCCTTACCGGTCATCTTTTTAAAAAAAAAAGAAATGGACCCAGAGATGACAGAGATAGTGAAATTAGCAGAGAAGGACTTAAAACAGCTATTATAAATATTATAAATATGAGTCAGGAGTAATAAAAACAAACATGAGGAGAGAAAATGAATATATAAGAAAGTCCTAAATGTAACTTCTAGAAATGATTAAAAAAAAAAAAATACAGTATCAGACTTCTTCACACAAACAAAACCTGAGTGAAAATTCATTGCAAGCAGACCTACAGGATAAGAAATGTGTTGGGAAAATATTATAATTTAATCAGGCCCCCTTGCCTTAGGTCTGGTTGGGGGTGGTGCAGTGCATTCTTTGCAAACGAGTTATGTGTGGGTGGAGTTAGTGCTCATGGGCAGCACTGCCACCCTGTCTGGTGTCTACTACCTCAGGCATCTGCTGCACGTGGCTTTGCTCTCGAACCTACGGCTCCAAGGACCTTTTTTGGCCAGTTACCTAGCTCATAGACCTGCGTGTGAGGGGCCTGGGGACCCAGCCTGGCATGTGAAGGGTTTGTGACCCAGTCTGTGAATGGGCTTGAGGGGTCTGTGAGCTCCAGACACAGCCCTAGCGTGACACTTGGCCCAGTTGGTAGGATTACGGGCAGGTAAAAGAGGTTGACAAAATGTAGTAGAATAGTATGAGAAATATGTGGGTAAATGTGAAAGACCAATTTCTCATTTTTAAATCTAATGGAAGAGTGATAAAGACTTCTGGTTCCAGACAAGATAAAGTAAAAGCAGCCAGATTTACACTCATGCTTGAAACAACTGAAAGAACAGAAACAAAGATGAAACAACAATTTTCAAGATATTTAACATGGCTGGTTGGTAGCTCTGTTGGTTAGAGCATGGTGTTACAACACCAAGGGCAAGGGTTCAGATCCCCATACCAGCCAGCTGCAAAAAAAAAAAAAAAAATATTGAATATTAGGCAATAAAGACAGTGACCCTTAGAGTTGGAAAACAAAGTGAAATACTGCCTTGAGACAGTTTCCAGGCTGTGGCACAAAAATATAGACCTGAAGCAGAGCCCAGTGGACTCACTGAGTAAAGGAGATGAGGAGATGGAGCTGAAAGTCCACAGAGACTAAGACAATTTATAGGACAAAATACCGGGGGATAAGAGAACCGCACAGGGAGAGAATCTGCACAGCATCCCATTCTATTCAGCAGAGTACTTATCAGAGTTCATAAGCATGAGTATACTATCTGAGGGCAGGAAAAGAACCATCAAAAAGGATTAGGGAAAAGCGTCCAGTGCCACGCAGGGCCAGGAATAGTACTTGTTCTCACCATCCATTATGGAAAAATTCTTCACTCACAGGGCACTGGGTAGAGTATTCAGGAAGGTTTTGTTTCAGTAATAGAGAATAATTAGCCCTAGCCTGATTGCTGCTCTGAAACCACCTAGTAAATCATAAAAGCAAGACCTCAAATGATTAAACTGTTTAAAAGGAAGTTAATTGCATCCCAAAATGAAATTCGAGAATATTTATAGGAAAACAAAAATATCCAGCACCCAAGAGGGTAAAACTCACAATGTCTGGCATCTAATCAAAATACATCAAGCAGAAAGAGAAAATATTTGCAAATCATGTACATGATAAAGGACTGATATACAGGATATGTAGAGAACTCCAAAAACTCAACAACAACAAAAACTTTGATTCAAAAATGGGGAAAGGAGTTGAATAAATATTTCTTCCAAAGAAGATATACCAATGGCCAATAAACACATAAAAAGATGTTGAACATCACTAATCATTAGAGAAATACAAATTAGAACTACAATGAGATACCACCTCATCCCCATTAGGATGGCTACTATCAAAAAAATATCCCAGAAAATAACGAGTGCTGGCAAGGAAGTGGAGAAACTGGAACCCATGTACGCTGTTGGTGGTAACGTAAAATGACACAGCTGCTGTGGAAAACAGTTGGCAGTTTCTCAAAAATTTTTTTGTACACACACACACACACACACACACGAATCGAAAGCAGGGTCTTAAGGAGATATTTGTATACCCATGTTCACAATAGCTAAAATGTGGAAGCAACCCAAGTGTTCAACAACAAATGGATAGGTAAGGAAAATGTGCTCTATACATACAATAAAATAGTACTCAACCTTAAAAAGGAAGGAAATTCTGACATATGCTATAGCATGAATGAACCTTGAGGACATTACGCTAAGTAAAATAAGCCAGTCACAAAAAAGGAAAATACTGTATGATTCCACTTATATGAGGTAGTTGGAGTGGTCAAAACTGCAGAGACAGAAAATAAAATGGTGTTTGGCATAGGCTAGGGAAGATGGGAATGGGACTTTATCGTTTAACAGGTACAGAGTTTTGGTTTTACAAGATGTAAAGAGATATGAGATAAATGGTGGTGACAGTTGCACAACATTATGAATGTATTCAATAACACTGAATACATACAAAAAATGGTTAAAATGGTAAATTTTATGTTATGTGCATTTTACCACAATAAAATAATAATAAATTTTTTAAAAAGTAAATTGAAACCTACTAAGTATGTAAAGGGTCAGAAAAACATGACTCTTAATGAGGACAATAATCAATTATTTGAAATTGAGTCAGAACTGACACAGATGTTACCATTAGCAGAGGAAGGGATTAAAATAGCTACTACAAATATTTCATATATTCAAAAGTAGGAATGTGGAAGATATTAAAAACTCCCAAACTGAACTTCTAGAGATGAAAATGACAGTATCTAAGATGAAAAAAATACTAGATGAGATTGTAGCACGTTGAGTATTGTAGAGGAAAAGATTACTGAGCTAGAAGGCATAGCAATGGAAACTATCCAAACTGAAACACACAAGAAAAAAGAAAACAAAAAAATTTAAAAGCATCAGTGAGCTGTGGGACAATTTCAAGCAGCTTAATATAGGGAAGTTGGAGTGTACAAAGAAATCCAATGGGGGGAGAAGGTGGCTGCATAATTTTTTTTTTTTTAAATAGTGGTCAAAAACTTGCCAAACTTGATGAAAATTATAAACCTACAGATCCAAAAAGCTCCATGAATCCCAAATATAGGAAACATGAAGTTAATTTCACCAAGACACACCATAATGAAAGCACTCAAAATCATTACTAATCTTAAAAGTGGGCAGAAGAAAACAATATGTATATACAGAGGAACAAAGATAGTGATGACATCATATTTCTCATTGGAAAGACACAAGTCAGAATAAACTAATCAACATCTTTAAAATACTGTCAACCTAGAATTACATATACCTGGCAAAAACATCTTTCAAAAACAAAGGTTTAATGAAGGTGTTTTCAGACATACGAAAACTGAAGAATTCATCATTGGTAGACCCACACTATAAGCAATATTAAAGGATGTATTTTAGGCAGAAGAAAAATGTTACCAGATAGAAATCTGTATCTACACAAAGGAAAGAAAAGCACCAGAAATAATAACTATCTGGGTAAATGTATAAGTTTAAAAAATTATTTAATTCTCCTTAAAAAATAATTGACATTTCAAACAAAAATAATAATGTTTTGTGTGATTTATAATATACTTAAAAGTAAAATGCATGACAATAGTACCACAAAAGAGCAGAAATGAAAGTCTACTACTCCAAGGATCTTATATATGAAATTGAATAAAGTCACATAAAGATAGAGTGTGATGGGCCGGCCCGTGGCTCACTCGGTAGAGTGCGGTGCTGATAACACCAAGGCCGTGGGTTCAGATCCTATATAGGGATGGCGAGTTTGCTCACTGGCTGAGCGTGGTGCTGACAACACCAAGCCAAGGGTTGAGATCCCCTTACCGGTCATCTTTAAAAAAAAAAAAAGATAGAGTGTGATTAAAAATGTATACTACAGGGCTGGCCCAGTGGCGCACTGGAGAGTGCGCCGCTTGAGAGCGCGGCAGCGCTCCCGCAGAGGGTTCGGATCCCATGTGGAGACCGGTTCCCGCTCACTGGCTGAGCGTGGTGTGGGCACGACACCAAGGGGTGCGATCCCGTTACCGGTCAGTAAAAAAGACAAAAAAGGAAAAAAAAAAATGTATACTACAAACTCAAAGTAATCATTAAAATAACAAAGCAAAGAGTAATAGCTATTAAGCCAAGAAAGGAGATAAAATGGAATCATAGAAAATACTCAAACCAGGCTGGCTGGTTAGCTCAGTTGGTTAGAGTGCAATGTTGGTAACACCAAGGTCAAGAGTTTGGATACCTGTCCTGGCCAGATGCCAAGAAAGAAAAAAAAAAACCTCAAACCAAAAGAAGGCAGAAAAAGGAAAAAACAAAAAACAGATGGGACAAACAGAAAACAAGTACCAAGTTGATGAACTCAAATTTAACCACATCCATAATCATATTACTCAAAAAACTAAAAATAGAACTACCATATGATCCAGCAATCTCACCTCTGAGTATATATCTAAAGGAACTGAAATCAGTGTTGAAGAGATATCTGCACTCTCATGTTCATTGTAACATCATACACAATGCCCAAGATATGGAATTAAGTTAAGTGTCTATCATCAGAAGAATGAATAAGCAAAATGTGGTATGTATACACAATGGATTACTATTTAGCCTTAAAAAAGAAGAAAATATTATCATTTGTGACAACATGGATGAACCTGGAAGACATTATGCTAAATGAAATAAGCCAGACAAAGAAATAAAAATATTGTATGATCCAATTACATGTGGAATCTAAAATGTTGAACTCATAGAAGTAGAGAGAATGAACATTACCAGAGGCTGGGGGGTGGGGGAAATGAATGGAGAGATGTTAGTCAAAGGGTACAAAGTTCCAGTTAAACAGGAGGAATAAATTTTTGAGATCTATTGCATGCGTTATGATGATAGTTAATAATGTATTGTATTTTTAAATTGCTAAGAATATATTTTAAATGTTCTAACCACAAAAACAATAAATATGTGAGATGATGGAAATATTTATTAGCTTGATTTAATCAGTACACAATGTACACATACATCAAAACATCACACTGCACTCCAAATAATAATATACAATTATTATTTGTCAAAAAAAAAAAAAAAACACATCAAATGATCCAAATATCCCAAATAAAAAGCAGAGATTGTCAAATTGGATAAAAAAGCAGGATGCAAAGTATATGCTGTCTATAAGAAACACAGTTTAAATATAAAGACAAAAATACATTAAAAGTAAAAAAATGGAAAGAGATATACCATGTTAACACAGTCCACAGAAAGCTGGAATGGATATGTTAATATCAAAGTAGATTTCAAAGCAAGGAATATTACCAGGGATTATGAAGGTCATTTCATGATAGTAAATGGGTCCATTAATCAGGAGGACACAATTCTAAATGTTTATGAATGTAATAATAGAGTTTTTAAATTACATGAAGCAATAATTGTTAGAACTGTAAGGAGAAACTGGTAAATCCACAATTATAATCAGAGATTTCAAAACCCCTCTGTCAATAATTGATAGAACAGGTAGGCAGAAAATCAATAAAGATATGATAGATGTGAACAATATCAACCAACTAGACCTGATAGTCATTTATAGAACACTATAGGCAATAATAGCACAATACACATTGTTCTCAAATGCACATGGAACATTTACCAAGACAGGCCATAATCTGGGCCATACACAAGTCTGAGTAAATTCAGAATGACCACAAATAATTAAATTACAATCAATATCTCAGAATAAATTATTGAAAAAAAATTTTAATCACAAAGTAATAGAGAAAGCTATGAAAGGAAGCATATCAGGTTATATTAATTTAATTACCTAATGAAGATGAAAATGATGGAAAGTTGGGAACAGAGTCAAACTTTTTTTTTTTTTTTTATTACAAACCCCTGACTCTCAATAGATTGCAGGAACTGAGCTGCTCTGCTACATATAAAACCCCAACCCAGAAGCACATTGTCTACTAATGGTTTAGCACCAGGTTCCCCAAGAACTGAGTGTTGCGCGATGGGCAAGGGGGCTGCCCCCTTTCCAGCCAAACTCAATTTCCCAGGACGAGGGGCTCTCCATACCTGACCTGAGTCAAACTTTTTTTTTTTTTCCTTTTTGTCTTTTTTCGTGACCGGTAACGGGATCGCAAACCTCAGTGCCGTGCCTGTACCGCGACCGGCAACGGGATCGCAACCCTCGGTGTCGCGCCTGCACCGCGCTCAACCAGTGAGCGGACAGGTCTCTATATGGGATCCGAACCCTCGGCGGGAGCACTGCCGCACTCCCAAGCACCGCACTCTACCGAGTGCGCCACCGGGCCGGCCCTGAGTCAAACTTTTAAAATACATTTTTGTACTGTTTTACTACTTATAGTAAACATACTCCTTTTGAAAAAAAATTTTTTAAGCATTTTTAAAGCCCTATGAGATCTTTCCAAATCCTTAAAATAAATTCCCCCTTTCCTATTGAGGTCATCTGAGCCAATTTCTATCTCTAATAATCATATGAATGCTAAGTAAAACAATCAAATACTATAATTTATTAAATAATGCTTCTATTACTGAGCGTATAGTTTTCCATTTTCTACTTCATATAACTAAAGCTACAATAAATAGATAGGTCCTCCTTAAATGCCAACCCTCAGCTTTCATAAAAATTCATCTCCTCGGGCTGGCCCAGTGGCGCACTGGATAGTGCGCCGCTTGGGAAGTGCGGCGGCGCTCCCGCCCGAGGGTTTGGATCCCACATACAGACCGGTTCCTACTCACTGGCTGAGCGAGGCGCGGGAGCAACGCCGAGGGTTGCGATCCCATTGCCGGTCCCCGGTCCGGTACGGGGGCAACACTGAGGGTTGCGATCCATTGCCGGACACGGAAAAAAAGACAAAAAAAGACCAAAAAAAAAAAAAAAAAAAAAAAAATTCATCTCCTCACTACTCAGTATTTCATACTCTTGCATGTGAAAAACATGCAAAATATAAAAGTATGAATATTTATATTTTTCCTTTTAATAGGGCAAAAATATTAATATGTATATATAATTTTATAGCTTTTTTTTGGCAGGTGGCTGGTATGGAGATCCGAACCCTTGACCTTGGTGTAATAATACCACATTCTAATCAACTGAGCTAACCAGCCAGCCCTGATTTAATAATTATTTGCATGTATTTTCAAATGTCATTAAGTGTTCATAAATATCATAGCAGCAACTTTAAATGTATTACCTCAGACAAAAAATAATTATAGAGTAGAATTTTACAGAAAATGCTTATATCTTACCAAAAGTCCTAGAACTTTCTGTTGAATAGATGACTCAGTTGGAAAAGACTGTAAAAAGAAAGAGAAACCTATAATTACCTAAAGATCTAATATAATAAATGCTTAAATAAGTTAATCAATAAATTTCAAAACTGTAGGCTAAATTCCCATTCTAACCTCTAGAACCCTCATGAAGAGTTCTAACCCTTGGTTTTCAATAAAGTGTCTGCAAGTGGTTGGAGATTCATCTGTGAGATTCCAAAGTGCACTCAAAGTAAACTTCAATGTAGTGTCCACTGAATTTTGATTGGTTTTCTGCTTCACAATTTGAAGAAGTTGCTGAAAGAGGGAAAACAAAATTACTTTTTCATTATTGAATTGTTACTGCAATTTGTGCTTGTTAATAACCACAAGTCCATGAAGATTAGTCTTGTGGCTTAAAGCATTTCCCATAAATTCTTACAAGTACAACAAACAGCCCTTTGGATTGGACTATTCCATCCACAAGAAAAAAGTATGGGATTTTCATAAATGCTTCTGTATTATTCTGACCATACCTAAAATCTAATTAGCTGTAAATAACACTTAAAAGCAAAATGATTTAAGCTTTGGACAAATTATCTTACCCAATCAGTCACAGCATATACTTATTTAAGATTCTGGAATAAAAAAAGTGGAGGGGGAGAAGGGGTAATAAAGCTAATATCCGCTAAGCATCACCAAATTATACCCTCTATTTCAGTAATGTTACCCCCATTTTTCAGGAAAGGAAATTGAGTCTAAGAAATAGTAATTTTATCATAGTCAACTTAGTAAGAGAAAATTAACTGGAAGATCTAATCTATCTAATTGCAAGTTTTCCTTAAGAAAAAAAGAGAAAGGACAAACTACATACAATGATAAGAGAATTAAAGTCATATTGGATATAAAGGAGATAATAGTTTTGAAATTCCAGTTGTAAATTATTTCTATAATACTTTTACCCTAAGAAATTTAAGTTGGAAATTAAGAACTAATAAAACATCCATGATTCCATTTTTATTAGTGTTATAAATTATTACTGTAAATTTTGAAAAAAACCCCAAACAACAGTTTTTTTTTTTTTTTTTCTTTGCCACTTTTTAGCTGGTTCATCAGGATTCTGGATTGGTGGGGATCTTAACCCTTGGCTTGGTGTTGTCAGCACCATGCTCAGCCAGTGAGCGAACCGGCCATCCCTATATGGGATCTGAACCCGGGGCCTTGGTGTTATCAGCACCGCACTCTCCCGAGTGAGCCACGGGCCGGCCAATGATTCCATTTTTAGGTCACATATTTTGGAGGTAAAAGGAAGCTCTGCTAAAACAGACAGAAGAAAACATTAATGAACACCGTCACTAAAGGTTATATACAATTCAGAAAAAAATTTTAAGGAACACAAACATCTAAGTACAATTAGGTAACAACAGCATAGTGGCTAAGAGTGTGGCGGCAGAATCAAATTATCTGAGTTTAGATATAATCTCTGCATTAGACTAAATTTGTAACCTTGTTTACCAAATTAATTCTGTTTCCTCATCTGTAAATTGCAAGTGATGAAAAGCTAAAGAAAAAATTAGGTATCATCATCAGTACTACTACTACTACTACTACTACTTCCTGCTTAAACTAAGCTTGCTTCCCCACTGCAAAACATGGGTATATTACTTCCTTAAAATCTTTGAATATACCTCCAGCCAAAATTAGTGAGACATACACAGCAATAAAAAGCTATCCCTAAAAATAATAAAAGTAAATAAGTATACTTTTCTACTTATCTGATACAGTAGTCCCCCCCTTATCCACGGGGGATCCCTAGTGGATACCTGAAACTGCAGATATTACTGGACCCTATCTGTACTGTTTTTTCCCATACACACATCTTTATGATAAAGTTTAATTTATAAATTAGGCACAGTAAGAGAACAATAACTAATAATAAAATAGAACAATTATAACAATATGCCAACATCACCGCTCTATTTGGGCCTATTACTAAGTAAAATAAGGATTACTTGAACACAAGCACTACAGTGCCTCGATAGTGGATCTGATAAAGAAGACAGGTGCTAAGTGACTAATGGGTGGGTAGCACATACAGCATGGATACACTGGACAAAGGGACGATTCACACCCATATGGGAAGGAGCAAGCCAGCACAAGGTTTCATCACTACTCAGAACAGCCCACAATTGTTTACTTCTGGAAGTTTCCATGTAATATTTTCTGACCATGGTTGACCATGGATAACTGAAACCACAGAAAGCAAAACCATGAATAAAAGGGGACTATTGTATGTATTGTATTTTGTGTTAGGTACTTAGCATTAATCTTCATAATAACTGTATAAAGTATTAATTTTCAATTAATCTTCATAATAACTGTATAAAATATTTTTCATTACCCCTTAGAAAATGAATGTTACTTGCCCAAAATAACACGGCTAGTAAGAGACAGAAGTAGGAATAAACCTAGACATGTCAACTCCAGAGTTCCCACTCTTTCCATTATACGAGAGCCTTCCCTCTCTTTACATTATTTTTTCATTCATACTACCTCTATTATTATACTTTTTAAACTGTATTATAACCATGTCTACATAGCTATTTTCTCTACTATACCGTGAATTTATTATAGGCAGGAATTACAGACATAATTCAGTGTGAATCCCTAATATCTGGTAAGGGGGCAGGTATCTGATGTGTACTCTATACAATATTAATCAAATGAATGACTTATCTCATTACATACATAAATTGAAAGTCACGAAAAAAGGGAGTCTCTTATTTGACTTTTCCATGTACTACTACTGTTCAAACATCTCATGCCAAGATATTAACAAGAAGCTCTTAAGTGGGTTTTTGCCTCCAGTCCTCCCTAAGACATTGTTTATATCTATTAAAGCTTTTAGGCTTCCGGTCAAGATGGCAGAATAGATGGTCCCCAGAATCACTCTCTTCCACAAATCAACCAATTTACAACTATAAAAAAGCAACAACAGTCAAGGTGGGGCTGCTAGAGCTCAAGGGAAGAGGAGGAGAGACCTATGGAGTTCATGAAGGTGGGAGAAGCCACAATGAGAGAAAGAAAAAACTGCTTGGAGCACTTTGGGCAGTGGCCACTTTAAGGCTGAGTGCATGGAGCAGGAGCCAGCAAAAGCCACAGCTGCGCCCTTCAGATGAAATTTCTTGGAGGTGGCAGGGAGAAGGGGGCCTTGGAGGCCCCCAGGACAGCAAAACCACTAATAGGGTTCCCGTGGACCCACACAGGAGCGAAGAGCCACAACAACTGAAAAAAAGGAGCCATTCAGAGGCCAGTGAGTCATCACAAGGGACCGGCACATAGTCTGTCCCACAGGAAGTGTTTGTAGCATAGGCAGTGGCGGAGATGGGCCCACCGAGAGAACACTGGGACACAGCAAGGACAGCTGATCTGGCCCCCAATCAGCACAGGACCATTCAGAGGAGACTGGTCGGGAATGCAGAATTGCATGGGGTGCAGTTTGATGAAAAGACTCAGGCCCTGGTCAGAGTTTCTACACAACCCAGGTGCACCGGGTCTCTAGAGAGCTGCCAAGTACCTATAAGGTCAACCATTAATTAAACCCTGAGCTGCACAAAAAGCCTTCCCTAGGGAAACAGCAGCAAAGCAGCAATTTAGCTCAACCACACAGCTCAAGAACTGGTTCCCACAGGAAGTTCCCCCACTTTAGAAGCAAGCAAAGGACAAAAAATTAGTTCCGGCCCGGGCACACCACCAGCACCTCGGGGCCCACCAAGGGACCTGAGGCATGGAACTGCAAACCAGACCCCCACCCACAACCAGGCACATCGCCAGTGCCTCAAGGCCTGCCTGGAGACCTGAGGCATGGATTGGGGTTTGGACCCCCTGCTCACATACAGGCACAGCACCAGTGCTGCGGGGCCAGCCTGGGGACCTGAGGCTTAGAGCCGTGGACTGCCTCCCCTCACACAACCAGGCATACCACCAGTGCCTCAGGGCCTGTCCAGGGGCCTGAGGCATTGAGCCAGGGACCAGACCCCCCCCCCTACAACCAGGCACACCTCCAGCACCAAGGAACATGCCAAAAACATCACCTCCATGTGGGTGGCCTACCACAGTAACCACTGCTGCCACAAAAGTGGCTAGACGTCACAACCACCACACAGATGGTCCACTAGCCACTGGAGTGCATCAACACAAGTAGAGCCACCAGCAGGGACCAAAAAAAGGAAGAGGATGTCTCTCTCCACAAAGCCCATTCCAGAGTGAAAGAAGAATCATCTGCTCTATGTTAATATTGGGGGACCTAAACACACATCTCAGCATTGGACAGATCATCTAGGCAAAAAATCAACAGAGTAACCATTACTCTTTCAGAGGGAGAAAAGAAATATAGGGTTATCAGTGGTGGGAGGGGGGAGGGAGGGGGGAAAGGCAGAGATTGGACAAGGGGCATAAAAAATAAGTATAATTTGTAACAATATACATACTAATAATATTGATTTGATCAACATATGCCAACACTGAACCCCAAAATTATGTATAATCAATTATGATTCAATAAAATTTTTAGGGCCGGCCCGTGGCTCACTCGGGAGAGTGTGGTGCTGATAACACCAAGGCCCCAGGTTCGGATCCCATATAGGGATGGCTGGTTTGCTCACTGGCTGAGCGTGGTGCTGACAACACCAAGTCAAGGGTTAAGATCCCCTTACCGGTCATCTTTAAAAAAAATAATAATAATAAAATAAAATTAAATTAAAAAAAAAAATAATAAAGCTTTTAAAACTTTTGACTATTATTATTTCCTCAACTTACTATAAGCAAGCAAAATCGTATATCAGCTATTTAAATTATATACTTATATATAATTATATATTATATACCCCAATGCATGTAGGACAATGTATGCCTCTAATAGAGTCTCTGCATTTTCTTCATAAATAAAAATCACAGAATTTTAGAACTAGATAGGATCTTAATTCATATGTGGGTCCCAATAGTTCAAGTAATTTGCCTAAATTCACAAGAGAGTTTACAAGTTAGATCTTAGGTCACTGACTCAGGGCTCTTTCCATCTGTTAAGGAGTAAAGCTGTCTCTATGAAAAGAAATGAATACATCCATTTCAAAGTAACTAAAAGAATTAAAATAATTAAATAAATAAAATGTCAGAAGATACACAATGCTGCCTAAAAACAATAAAAGTGAATACTATCTAGTGGCCTGCATAGAGGAGATAATAGACTTACCCTGACAATGAAGAGCTCAGCACCAAGCTGTGCAGTTTGTTCTGTAGAAAGCTATAAAGAAGCGTAAGACAAAGTAAATGTCCACAAATTCACCAGTGTGAGTTTGATATCATTCATTAAAAACAGACTCCAAATATCAGAATAAAATTTCTGATTAACCTGGAATTCTGTAATATCAAATGCAGCCTGAATAAGTAGGCTGGCAGAGAGGCATGTTAATCTTTCTGGAACATAGATTTGGAGGAAAATTGTAATTACAATGGGAAATAGCTGCCTACAGAAAATTACTCAGCAAGCATTCAGGTACCTTGGCAGCCAGGATGGAAATGATAGCAACTGCCATCCTTTGCATGTTTTGATCCTCATGGTTGCAGAGCCACTGCATGACAAGCTTGGCTGCTTCAAACCTGAAAACACACAAAAGTTTTCATAAATTAATCCTGGAGGCCCAGGCACACTTTCAGAGTGCCAACTGGGAACTGATGCTACAATTTAGGTAGGTAAGAAGGAAAGGGAAAATTCCTCTTAACTGATAAAGAATAACATTCACACAGTGTTTTAGACGGGACACTTTACTAATTGATACTATTTTGTAAAGAAACAAGAGGTTGGAGAATATTGTCAAAACTATCTGGTATTTCATCTTCTAGAATTATAATAGCACGTCTATGTTTTTATTCTCTATTTGTATACTGTACTGATTTCTATACTGTAGTTGTAATTTAAGTATTTTCTGGGTTCCTCATAGCACCTAGCACAATGGAGATAGCCAATCCATTCACAAATATTTATTGTACCCTGCTTTGTGCCACATATCGTTCTTAGTGCTGGAGACAGAGTAGTAAACAAAACAGAAAAATATTCCCGCTCTAATAGAGCTTACTCTAGAGAGGAGGACAGATAATAAGTCAGATAAATAAGTAAAATACGTAGTATAGTTAGGTACTAATGTATGCGATGGAGGGGAAAAAATATTAAGCAGAGAAAGAGAGAATGTTAAGAAAGAGAAATGTTGAAATTTATGTAGGGTGGCTAGGGAAGGCCTCACTGAAACTTTTGAAGTGAGACAGCTAGCCATGTGAATTCCAAGCAGAAGGAATGAGAAAGACAACACTCCTGAAGTAAGGGTGTGCCTGGAGGTTTTAAGAAATAGAATGGAGGTCAGAGCAGAGGGAACAAGGGGAAAGATTCTAAGATACAAAGTCAGAGGTAACAGGCAAGCAAGATCAGATAGCGTCTTAAGCTTCAGGAGGTCAAGGACAGAACCAGGAGAGCGATTCAGAGGCTACTGCAATAATTCAGGAGAGAAACCACTTTTAGTCCACTCTGAGTGGTAGAAATGGAAGTGAAGAAAAATGGTTACATTCTGGATATATTTTGAATATAGAGCTCAATTTGCAAAAGGACTGAATGTGGGATATGAGACAAGGAGAGGAATCAACAAGATAACTCCAAAGACTGTATCTGATTATTTTACCCATAATCGCATCTTTCAAGACTCTGCTCAAATATCACTTCCTTTGAAAAGCTTTCATTGACAAGTTTATCGGTGCCTTTTCAGCTTCTTAGCACTTTATTTATAACTGCCAGATCTGTGATCATCTGTAGACACCTGAATCCCCCACTGGCCTGTGAGCTCCTTGAAGGAAGAGACCATACCCTGTTTAGCCCTTTATGCCAAGCACCCAATACAGTGATTGACACAAAAATATGGCTTAATACATGTTGGCTGAATGATTACATTGAGGGAGATTAGTGCTCTGCAACTTCTCTCAAGTTTACTATTACCTTTTTTCTATTCCCAAGGCTATCTCCAAGTCCCATTACTGGAATTCTTCTACAGTAGATTCCTAATGGGCTTTTCTGTCTCCATTGCTTTCCCTTCAATTTGTGCCTGCATACTATAATAAATAAACCTGTCAGAGGACTTAGGTATGAGTATACTCCTGTACTCATAGCATTCTAGAACTCTAGCATGGGCCCATACTTCCAAATCCTTCTTTTTTCCTGCCTACTCTATGCTTACTGCCCTCACACATGCCCACAATTAAGAGGTAATATAGCCTAGTGGTTAAGAGTACAGATTCTGAAGTCAGTCCTGGGTTTGAATTCTAGTTCCAATTAATGTTAATGATAATAATAAAATAAATTATTATATCATGTGAGGCAATGCAGTCAAGTTGTTAAGAACATCATACCCTTCGGAGTCAAATCTAAGCTCTTGATGAAAGTTAATTTTTACTAATATTATTACTATTGACTTCCTCTGTGCAGTTCACACAACATAAAATAACTCAACCAGCTCTCATCTTTAAAGAAACATAACATGAATGTAAAAAATGGAAGCTCTAGAGTCAGTCTCAGTTTAAACCTAGACCCTGCTACTTACTATTTTTTTTTACTTTGAGCAAGTTACTAAACCTTTCTGCGACTGTCCCCTCATCTGTAAAATGATTATGAAAGTAACAATCTGACAGGATTGTTATGAAAAGTGAATAAGCATAAGTAAAACACTTTAGCACAGTGCCTGGCAATAGTAAGTGCTTCACATATGTTAGCTGTTATCTTCATTATCTCAAGTGCCAACACTAACATGAAACCTTTAATGATCATCAATCAGATGGAATCTTTTCTTCCTTGTCTGGGGGCTCAATGCATTCCACTGACACTTATTCTATGATAAATTCTGCCTCATGTTGTACTTATTCAGTCATTCATCCATCCATTCATTAAACATCCACTTAAACACTAGAGACAAAGAAATGAACCATTCACAGCCTCTGACCACAAAGAAGCTCAATTCTAGCAGAGTGTACTGGCTGGATCAAAGATAGGCAAACTATATAGCCTGTAGGCCTAGATGCCTGTTTTGTATAATTTTACTGGAAGATAGCCACACCCATTCACTCATTTCCAAGGTGTGAAGGTTAATTCTAGGTGTCAACTTGATTAAATTAAGGAATGCCAAGAACCCTGGTAAAGCTATCTTTTTAGGTGTATCCATGAGTGTGTTTCCAGCAGAGATTAGTATGAGAGCCTGAGTGTACTAGGTGGGAAAGACCCACCCTCAATGTGCATGGGAACCATCTGTAGGAAAGTGAATATAAATAGTCAGCATCTATCAGGGATTCAGAATCTTTCTGAGCATTTGATGTAAACATGCATGTACACCCAGGTGTTCCTTGGTTATTGTCTAATGTAATTGTGCATGTGTGCCCAGGTGTTCCTGGGTTGTCTGACTCGTACTCAAGTGTCCTGGAATATCGGACTTGAGTATAAAGGACTAGTGGCTCTGATCCGCAGGGTACCTACCCGTCCACCCTTGGGATGCCCCAGGTAGACTGCTACTGCTGCTGGAGGCTGTTGCTGCCAGGACCCCCAGGATGCTCCAGGAGGCTGCCACCTCCACTGCTGCTGGATTTGCTATAAGCTTCTCCTGCTGCTGAGGAAGCTGAAGACTGAGCTTGTGTCATCTGCTAATGGCTTCTGGGATCTTTCCCAATTACCTTGCTCATAGACCTGCATGTGAGGGGTCTGGTGACCCAGCCTGGCATGTAAGGGGTCTGTGATATGAAGGGTCTGTGGGCCCTAGCAATACAATTGGCTACATGAGCAGTGTTGGGAAAATATAGAGAAATGGTCAAGGCCCTTCAGATGTTCAGAATCTTGCCAAGCATCTAATGTAAATATTCACATGCGCACAGGTATTCCTTGTTTGTCTGATGTAGATGCACATGGGCACCCTGGTGTTTTAGGTTATGGACTTAAATATAAAGGACTAATGGTTCTGATACACGGCTCTTCTCAGGATGCTCAGGGAAGCCACTAGGGTGGCTGCTCCTAGCTCTGAATAAAGCCTATTAATTTTTCACCCACTGCTCCTAGGACTTTTTCCTATTACCTAGCTCGTAGACCTGAGTGTGGAGGGTTTGTCACTCAGTCTGTACAGGGTGCTCGAGGGGTCTGTGAGCCCTAGCCCTAGCTCTACAATTGGTGTAGTTAGCAGGATTTCGACTTTAGCCCTAGCTCTACAACTGGCATAGTTGTGGCAGGATTCTGGGCAGGTAAAAGAGCCTGGCAATTGGCATCATGGGTAGGATGCCAAGCAGGTAAAGAAGCAGAAAGCCCTTTGAGAGGGGAAGGAAACGTGGCTACCCTTGGGTATGTGGTGCCTGGTGGCTGCTTTCCTGTTGAATGGGGTCTGGCTGTTGTTTGCTGTACTGCGAGCCAACATGGACCAGAAACCCCATGAAACATTAGTTTCAAGATTTGCAGCAGAGAGCAGACAGGTTGGAAGTGCAAGTACATACCCTGCAGGCTGAAGTCACTCCTGCTTCCGACACCTGGAAGATGACGAAGCCAGTGGTGAGTTGGGGGAGACCATGCGTCTCCAGGCACAACCTGTGCTGCATCAGAAAGTGAGGCACGGGGCCGGCCCGGTGGCGCACTGCTACAGTGCGCTGCTTGGGAGCGCGGTGGCGCTCCCGCTGAGGGTTCGGATCCCACATACAGACCGGTTCCCGCTCACTGGCTGAGCGAGGTGCGGGCGCAACACCGAGGGTTGTGATCCCGTTGCCAGTCCCGGTCCAATACGGGTGCAACACTGAGGGTTGCAATCCGTTGCCGGACATGAAAAAAGACAAAAAAGGAAAAAAAAAAAAAAAAAGAAAGTGAGGCACAAGCAGCCTATGGGACCAGGCAGACAACCAGCAGGCAATCCACAGGTGACCCAACTCACTACCTATGTCCCATATACCCAGGTTGAATTAGTTGACTTGGGGAGACAGTTCTGGCAGAAACAGGGGGAGCCCCTGGCTACTTGGCTGCAGTGTTTATGGGACCTAGGGATGGACAGTGTGATATGCTCTGGTGAGGAGATGGAAAAATTGGCCTCCGTTAGCATGCACCCATCCCTGAGGCAGTGACTACAGAATAGCGCAGATATGCACAAGGGCCAGGTAATCGCTCCTTAATGGAATGGGTGAATGCAGCTGCCTGAATGGTGTGGGCAAATGCTGGAGAACTGCCCAAGACTGTGAATAAATGGCAAACATATGCTGAGTTGGTCCAAATAATTCGGGAGCTGGGGATGCAGCAGTCCATGTTTAATGTGAACACTCATGGCCCGGACAATGAAAGTTTTACAGGTAGATGACAGACATAGTGCTGCAAAATGCACTGTCAATGTCCTTTGGGTCACTGATGGCCATACTGGCCCTATACATTGGTCATCCTATACATGAAGTAACGACCACAATAGCTGGCCTGGGTGAAGTAGAGGATAGCAGACAAGCAAAAGGAGTCCGAAAGGTGGCTAAGACCAAACCCCAAGAAATGCTCGAAATTTTATCCAAAGGGGACCAAGCAAGACTTGTGGCTTGACTTGCTTGCAGCAGGGGTTGACAGT